ACCTGGGCAGAAACTCACTATTGTTCCTCACCTTCTTAGGTTCCATTTCACTGTGTGGGTCAAAAGTAAGAGAAGAAAGAAGGACTGGGAAAACCTCCCAGAGAGAACAGAGAGGCCAGGGACACTGGCAGTGACTCCGCAGGGAACGTTCCTGCCAGCAGAGAAGATGAGCAGGAAGTGGGCAGTGAGGAAGATGTTGGGGTGGGGGTAGGCGTAGAAAGCACAGGTGAGGTTTCTAGACTTATTTTTCTCCTGCATTCTGAACTTTCAGTTCCCAGTAGGGGCTGGTGTTCTACCCCTCAGTCCTTGCTACCCACCCCATAATGTGAAATTACAAGTTTCATGGAACCAGGTATGGAATGTCAACAGGTCTTCTGGAGGGAGTTTATTTTTCAGTAAGAACAAAGAGGGAGAGGGTTGGTCTTTGGCTCTACATCACAGTGTCCTAAATCATTAAAATTTTCAAACTGTTGTATTAGTAGAAATAAAGAGTTCATTTTTTTTTCCATAGAAGCAACTAAAATGTATTGGCCTGCTCAGGTTTACAGAAAACATTTAAAATACTCGTAGTACTATAGAATAATGATTACATAATTACATATTCACTAACATCACACATGGAGCTAAGATAATATTACAACAGATTGGGCCCAGGGTTAATTTTACAACTTATATTGGGAGAAATATTAAAAATCTTCAGTGTGCCCTTATGCACAGGCTTCTTGTAGGATTTTCCTTAATTAATAAGAAACAACTTTGTCCTTTAAATAAGAATTTGATTCTGTGATAGGGGCAGATATTGTTAAGGGATTTATTTATTTTTGTCTAATGTAATAGTTTGAGCCAGTGGGCTCCCTTTGCTGAAGTTGGCATGAGGAGCCAAGGTTACTGGGTGGGTCCCTCTGAGGGCCACGGGCTCTCCATGAACAGTCAGAGAACACGTCTTTCAGGGTGTTGCAGTGGTAGGGAGGTGACATGGGACAGTGCCGCACAGATGCTGTTACTGGCCACGTGCTTCTCTGTAGCAGGTAGCAGTCAAACACCCAGTCCCAGGAGTGCCCCGGGGGATGAGCGCGCTCCCTGCCACTGGTGACGGAGCGACTGAAAGCTCTGTCCATGTCTGAAGTATTTCCCTGCTGCACTCACATAGCAAAAGGCTTTGTGATCCATCTTAATTTACATTTCCATGAGGAAGATAATTTATTCTTGAACTGAAATTAGACATTTGCCCTACATCTACTTATCTGGTGTTAAAAAAAGGCATTATATTAGATGTTGTATAGGTAATTTACATAATATATGTACTTGAATTTCCTCTAATAGCCTCCTAGTACTTCACACGTAACAGTTCTTGAGCGTAAAGAGACCAGACTATATATCCTATCCTGATTGCTTTCAATCTCAACCAAACTCGTGTGGGAAGCTGCAGTTTCAGACTGAGTGAGTGTGAAGTTGTAAAATGCTTGAAATCGGGGCTGTTGGCGGTGCTTTAAAGGAACACTGGGGCAGTGTGCACACTGGATCCTGAGAGACGGTGAGTGTTGGAAATGCCAGCATGTTTCAGTTGTTTCTGTCGAAAACAGCACTTTTCCAAAAGATTTAATAGAGTATTTAGGGTGATAGGCTTTCCCCGGTGTGTGGGAGGCAGGCCATTTAAATGCCTTTCCAGCTCACTTGTTCAATAATGGCTTCTCACTTACAAGCACAGGACAGCCAATGACGTGGAACTTCTGTTTCCTCCTCCCCGCCATCGAGATAAAGTGAAAGTAAACAGGCTTGGAAAATTACTAGTGTTCCTCGCGAGGCACATGAAGAAGCGTGGCAGAAAATCTGTTACATATCTTTTTTCCCAGTGTTGCCTGTACTGTCCGTAGCAGAGCAACCAGAAAGAGGGTTCTATAGGACCCTAAGGGGCCCAAACTTATAATTGGCTTTTCTGCTTCTGCTTGCTCTAAAAGGCATAGGCATTTGAAAAGGCTTTGTGATCCATCTTAATTTACATTTCCATGAGGAAGATAATTTATTCTTGAACTGAAATTAGACATTTATTTGCCCTACATCTACTTATCTGAGGCAGGTACATGCTTTTCCTGAGAGGAACCAGGCCACTTCCTATAGTGTTCTTCCTGCCTTCAGATTTAAATAATTTTATCAGCATTTTTCTGTTGGGGAAATTTAATTTTGAACAGTGGTGATAAGCCACCTTAGAGAGGATATTAGATTTTTTTTTTTTACTTTGTAACAGGGTTTAAATGCAAACATCTCTATATCTGGTTCTTAAAAACAAAACAAAGGCCAAGCAAACAATACAAACTGCTGATTTCAGCATTCATCTCAATTTCTTTCAGAACTCTTGTTCTCAAGGTCAGTGGCATCTCATTCCCAGGGGATGCGACTGCTCAGTGGGTAATGACGTTTTACATGGAAGGTTTCAAAGGCTGGAACCTCTGAAGAAAAAGGTTTGATAAATTTTTTTCACTGCTGTATTCCAGGGGCAAAGAACAAAGCCTGCCTGGCTCATAACGAATGCTTGACAAATATTTGTTGCATAACTGAGAAGTATTTTACCTGTATAGAACTAAGCTGTTCTCACATACTTTCAAAACCATTTACCAATAACTGCCACTTATAACATTTTGAGGTTAGCATTTTTTCACTCAAAGATTTAACTTTTTTTTGAGCAGGAAACATGTATGTGTGGATATATATATATATATTAGAAAACAAATTCAATTTCTTTGCCCATTAACCACAGGGTTATTTTCTAAATACTTATTAAATGACTGAAATATAAGACAAAGCATATGTAGTTACAAGGAAGACCATGTCGAGATAAATCAAATGGATCCTGCCTTCGAGATGTGTATGACTAATCTGACAGGGTTACAGACAAGCGTGTGCTCATATGCATTATAGAGAGGAAGCCGTGGAGAAAGGGGATCATGTAGCCTAAGTTCCAAGGTGGCCTCCAAGGAGGGAAAGGCCTGACTGTGTCAAATGCATCTCTCTATCCTTGTTGCCTGGCAGAGTAGATAGCTGTTTTAGCTATTCCTATTTGTTGAATGAATGAATAAAGAACTTCTCTGGGGCTGGGTGAAAAAGGTGACGGGATTAAAAAAAAACCTAACCAAACAAAAAAACCCAAATACAAACAAGGAAAAAAACTGCTCATAGACACAGACAACAGTATGGTGATTACCAGAGGGAAGGGAGTGGAAGGAGGTAGAAGAGGGTAAGGGGGGATAAATGATGGAAGGAGACTTGCTTTGGAGTGGTGAACACACCCCGAAATACAGACAATACAATATACAGACGATGTATTATAGACTGTACTTTTGAAAACTATGTAATTTCATTAACCAATGACACCTCAATAAATCCACTAAAAAAGAAAAAATAATTCTCTCTTCCTCATAATTGAGCCTGAGTCCTTGAGTTTAAAATAAGGAAGAAGAAATCTCTCAAAGTAAATACATAATATGGTGTTCCAGGGGATCACAGGAAGAGACCATCTAAATCAGAGAGGGTGGAAGAAATCAGGGGTCGTGAAGGAGGTGTCTTGAAGAGCAGATGAAGAGCAGCCTTCCAGGCCCGAGGTTTGGAACGGGAAGGGAAAATGGAGAGACCGGCAGGAAGAGGTAAGTAGCCAGAAGCAGCTGCAACAAAGTGTGGTGGGAGATGAGGGTGGGAAAGATTCAGCCTAGGAGTGAGGACAGCAGGCTGCTCAGGAGAGGAGTTTCTTAGGTGGGCAGAGGGAAGCCGGGGTGTGGGGATAGCCTTGATCAGGGAGATGAGGAGTATTGGGGCCATTAACCTACCGTGGTAGGAAGTTGGACAGAAGAGGATCTGAATAAAAAGGTAGTGAGACCACTTGTCTATTCTAGATGGACACAAAAGCCACAAAAATCTTATTTAGGAGATGGCAGAGGGGTTAAAAAAAATTCCAGAGACTTGAAAAACTGGAATGGAGAAGACAGGTGGTTAATTAGATCCAGGGTTGGGGGATGGCAAACTAGGGAGGAAAAAGAATAAGGCTTCAGGTCCAAGCCTAAATAACTGGGGAAATGAAACATTTAACAGGAATAAGGAGAGTGGCAGAACAGCCACTTTTATTGGGGATGGGGGTGAGGGAGTGAAATTGGATTTAAACAAGTCTTAGGTACAAAGATAGCCAGTTGGGGATGTCCACAGGCAATTGAAAACCTCGTGGTGATTGTATAATAGCTTGAGCTATGGGCTTTTTAAAATGATTTATTTGAATAGGTTATATTACTGCCACATTTGGGCAAATGAAAATTAATTCTCCTTCCTGCTGCTGGTTGCCTCTTTTCTCTCTCCAGAGGTAGCCACTGATTCATTTCTTATGATTCTCAAGATATTCTGTATGTACGTATGTATGTATACATATATACATGTTTTTATGTCCACAGGAGAGTTTTGTATTTTTAATTTTTAAAGGCTAGGGAAGACTTATATGTATTTGAGACAGAAGAAAAAGAACAAGGAAAGGTAGAGATTAGAAAAACAATTAAAAAGGAATTACTCCCCCGGCTGGTGTGGCTCAGTGGGTTTGAGCACCAACCTGCAACTGAAAGGTTGCCAGCTCAATTCCCGGTCAGGGCACATGCCTGGATTGCAGGCCAGGTCCCCAGGTCACGCTGTGTCCAGCATGCAAGAGATGTTTTTCTTACACATTGATGCTTTTCTCCCTTTCTTCCCCTCTCCCTAAAAATAACTAAAATCTTAAAGAAAATAAAAAGGAATTACTGAAGCAAGGTCTTAGAGAAGGTAACAGAGGACAGAATCAGTGGTGGGCTAAGAAGGGCAGGTCGATGGCGATAGAGATTTCTGATGCTGCATCACTTAGATGGCCTGTTTCCTCGGCCTGGTGGCAGAGATGCATGAAGAGGTAGGTTGGTGGCTGCAGGAGGATGGCAGAAAAGATGTAAGATGGCTGCTGTGGACATGAGAAAATGTCATAGAATTGTCAGATCCAAAAATCAATTCAAAAAGGTTTATTTTGATGATTTATAAAAGAAATATCACCATTGCAACTTAAAGCCATTTACAAATTTAAAAAATTTACAGAAGTTATTCACATATTACATTAAACAGTTTTATTAAAATATTACAGGTAGTGTTGAACAAATGCAACATAAACCAAATTCTAAAACACATAAAAGCTCTCAAAGCATGTTCAAAAGCTATTGAAAGATGGTCTAGGAAAATGTGGAAAAATTTGATTTCAGGAATCAGCAGAAAGATGATTCTCACCTTTACATTACAATTGGTCTCAGGAGATGTGGCCTTTAAAAGTCACTTAAACCTTAAACTGCAACCAGAACCTTGCCTTTGGACAAACAGAAGGAACTAAAGAAATTTATTTAAAAAAATTCTAGTGTAGCTCATAGAACATAGGATTTGGAATTTATACTCTGATCGACTTGAAGGTAATTTTAAGCAAGGATAATGTTATTTGTGGTTAATTCGGCATCATACTTTATTTTTGTAGGTTACATGCCAATCAGTATTCTGGGGAGGGGAAAGTTTGAGGATTCATCAGAACTGCGGCTATGAATCTCAATGCTCCTGCCTGCTCAGGGCTTTGTCTACACATTAACAGCCCCCAGGGGAAGAACACCATCCAAAGACCTGGCACTGACCCTGGTCTTGGCTGCTGCCTCTGATGAATGCAGGGCACTGTCCCTGAAGCCAGGAAGGGAATGCCTGGCAGCTGACTGGGCATGCTTCCCTCTGCCCAGCTGCCAGGCCACATTATAGAAAGGCTGGCAGCTCCATGGAGATGCTAAAGTTTGAGACGTCAGGGTCAGAGATTGCTGATGACAAGTGATTTTTATGAGGAAAGTGGATAAAAATAGGTGTTTACCAAGACCTGAGATTTATTGTCCTTAATTAAGCACAGGTATAGAGGAGTGCACTTCAGCTCATTCCTAAGTGCGGCCCTTAAAAATAACTAGGACTCCCCTACTTCGTAGTGCCTGATTTGCAGCTGGGTATGTGACCCTAGAATAGAAGTTCCAGCATACATGTTATTAGTGATTAAAAATAGATGATTTTACTAATCTGGCCACTAGTGACATGTCATGATTATAAGCCTTAAAAATTTAATGCATATACAATTTTTTCTTGCACATAGAATGCTTAAAACATTAAAATATCAAAGGCACTTTTAGGTTACATGATAAACAAAGATACATGGATAGAGACAGGATTATTTATTGGTTCCTTCAGCTTCTGTGTCCATGGCGGTCATCGAGGGCCCAGTTCTGCACTTCACCTTTAGCGAAGAGTGTGAAGAAAATGGCACCAAATACATTAATGGCAGCAGCGATCCAGAAAACAGTTTGCCATTCTCTAATAGTGTTCTGTAGAGGAAGAAAAAAATGCACGTGAAAATTTCTTGTCTGTAGCCAACTTTATAAAACAAGGTGGAGTCACAAGACTGTTATAATAGCAACATTACTCATAAAAGACACAACCCCAGTGTCCATCACAGTGAGACTGTGATGTATTTGTTCAGTGAAATACTATACAGCCATGAGAATGAGTGTACTACAGCAAAGTTGATACATTTTGCAAATAAAATGGTAAGCAAAAGGAGCCAGACACAAAAGAGTACATATCGAACACCTATATAAAGCTCAAAATCAGAGAAAACTGATCTATGATGCTTTGTAAGAGAGTTACACATTCTATTTGGGTGCTGGTTTACATGGATGTACCAACTTTGCAAAAATTTGTTCAGCAGTATACTTAGGATTTGTGTATTTTAAAAATACATGTTATACTTCAATAAAAAGTTTACTAAGACTAAAATGTGTGGCATATCCTTGAGTCACATGTTCTAGGCAAGTATTATGCCTGCATATCTCCTCCCAAGTTCTTAGGGGGAAGGTCAGGTGCAGACCAAGTAAGGATGAGCTGAGACCGACTTCAAGTTTGGGGCCTGGCCTGAAAGGTTCCACATGGCTCTCGCATGGCACATCACATGAGACATGCACTGGATTTGTCAATAAGAGATCAACAAAATGTAGTTGTTCAGTGTATAATTCACTGGTATAAAAGCATCAGACAGCTATCTAAATTTCTGGGTCATGTGACTAACTTTAACAATCATTTTTTGGATTTTCACAATTTCAGTCTTATCAGAGTGCTGTATTTGCATCATTAAACAGACAGACAGACAAACAAACAAACAAAGAGAAAAACCTAGCAGAACTGGCAATGAGAAAGGAAAAGAAAAGGCAGTAGGAAGCTAATATGAGGTTATTTACTTAGGAAAAAAGGAAAAACATGAAGAAAGGAGCACTGTGCACACTTTTTTCTGCAGCATGTCATGCTGTACTTTATTTGATTTCATACAATCTCTAAATGATGATTTTCTCAAGTACAGAAACTTGTTTGTCATTTTTTGCCTTTGAATCCTCAGTATCTGGTATATAAATAAACACCCAAGAAATGCCTTTTGAATACATGGTTGACTGTTTCAGGGAGCATTAATTCATAAGGCAGGCCATCCCATATAGTAACAGCTTTAAACAAAAGACTTTCTATTGTCCCCTCATAACTTCTCTTCACTTGTCTTTGTGAAACTGCTGAAAACAAGTCACCATCTCTCATCCGGTAGTCCTTCAAATATGTGAAGACACTTACCATGTCTTCTCAAGTCTTCCGCTCCTCTAAACATTCTCCATTATTTCAATTGCTCCTTATTCACTCTCACATGATTTTCTGACACCTTACCTTCATGTATCTAATTCCTGAATAGTTATACATTACCATTTTTTATTCATTCAAATAAAAGACACAGTCACTTATCTGGTATAATATCACAACTTACAAGTACTCATGTAGCTTCAGCTACGAGATCTTTGTTTAACTTAGTTCTATTGTTCTGTCTAAAATCCAAAGAGTGTTCTTTGAAAATATACATTCCTACCCATTAAGATATTTACTTTTTGTTACTATAAGGAATTGCATAAGAATAAACATTAAGAATTTTACCCTTAATTAAAATATGCTTAACTTTGACACAGATGTTTAGCTTCCAGGGCACTGTTCAGATCTTTTCAGTTCATAAGTTAATTATCTACTTACCTCAGGGGTCAGACTTTTAGCAATGACAGGCCCAACCATTCCCGGAATAGTGGCAAATGTATTTGTGATCCCCAGGAGGATACCAGCATACCTGCAGAAACATTTGCATAGAGGTTTATATTGTGCTACACATTTAAGTAGCTTTTTCAAGCTACTTAACTAGATAGCTAGTTATACCACTTCCAGGTTGTATCCTTTTCTTTTTTTTTAATTTTTAATTTATTTTTAGAGAGAGGGGAAGGGAGGGAGAGAAACATTGATGTGAGAGAGAAACATCGATTATTGTCTCTTAGACATGACCAACCAGGGACTGAACCCTCAGCCCAGGCATGTGTCCTGGCCAGGGACTGAACCTTTTGCTTTGTATGACGACACCCAACCATGCCATACTGGTCAGGGCCCTGGGTTGTGTTCTTATGAAATTTTATGTCTAAATGAAATGCCTTATTGGAACATGACACTACTGAAATGTTTAGCTGGTGAAAACATTGCATTTCAATAGTTAATTAGCATTCTAAGTGATATAAACATGGTCATTGAAATAATCCCTTTTATAGTGCTGTAGAAAAGTGCTGAGATATGATTTCCATACGTGAGCATATCTAGATAGGAACCTTGATATGTCTTAACATCTTTTTAAGTTAAAAAAACTGTTCAGCACTGGCCAGTGCAGCTCAGTTGGTTGGAGCGTTATCCCATAAACCAAAGGGTTGCAGGTTTGGTTCTAGTCAAGGCACATGCCTGGATTGTGGGTTTGGTTCCTGGTTGGGGCACGTGGGAAAGGCAACCAGTCGATGTTTTTCTCTCACATCAATGTTTCTCTCCCTCTCTTGCTTTCTCCTTCCCTCCCCTCCTCTCCTCTCTAAAATCTATAAACATGTCCTCAGGTGAGGATAAAAAAAAGGATTTATTTCCTGATTACCAAATTTATTTCATTGTTGAAAAGTTAAGAAAACATTAAGAAGAAAATAAAATGATCTATAATGCTTCCATAGATAGATAATCAGCATTAACATTTTGGTAAATATCCTAATTACTTTTTTATGTATATATTTCTAATATATTATAGAAGTGGGATCATATTGAACATCAATTTTACAACTTACTTGCTCCACTTATTACATATCTGCTTGTAGTTAACTCCTTGAACAATGTTCCAGAACTAGGCAAGTTTGGTCTACAGTGTGTGTGTGGGCGTGTGTGTGTATGACAAAAAGAATGCATTTTTTAAAAAAGATTTTTACTTAATTTATTTTAGAGAGAGGGGAAAGGAGGAGACAGAGAGGGAGAGAAACATCAATGTGTGGTTGCCTCTTGCACACCCCCTACTGGGGACCTGGCCCACAATCCAGGTATGTTCCCTGACTGGGAATTGAACCAGCGACCCTTTGGTTTGCAGGCTGGACTCAATCTACTGAGCCACACAAGCCAGAGCAGAATGCATTTTTAACAAGCTCAGAAAAAGTTCTGATTCACTTTAAGGGTAAATCTTAGAGGAGTGGGATATTTTTATCTATGTTTGCATGCAAATCTTTAAAGAAAGGATTCCTGCTTGTATTTGGGAAATGCTAATAATCTGTTGATTTCTCCAGTACATAAGGAAGGTATATAGACTAAACAAGACTTACATAATCAAGATCTTAGGTACCATACTAAAAAGAATAAAAGGCTTATCATTTTCTGTAAAGTCATATTGGAGTGATAATCAGGAGACCTAAAGATTCCTACTTAGTTCTACCATAAACCATCTGTATAACCTTTGGCAAGCTAGTGATAGATTATTTCCCTTATCATTGATGCGTTCATAGGTGTATACTTGTAACATATCTGATAGTCTCAGCTGAGCTCCCCCACATCCCACCAAGTATATGAAAAAAAAATTTTAAGTGATACACATGGAAATGTGTAAAAACCAGCTTGATGAATTTTCACATAGTGAACACAATCATGTCAGTAGAACCTGATCAAGAAACAGAACCTACTCGTATAACCATTTTTAAATATATTTTATTGATTGTGCTTTTAAAGTTGTCCCATTACCCTCCCTTCATTCCCCTCCACCTTGCACACCCTCTCCTACCCACATTCCCTTTAGTTCATGTCCATGTGTCATAAGTTCTTTAGCTTCTACATTTCCCATACTATTCTTGCCCTCCCCCTGTCTATTTTCTACCTACAATCTATACTACTTATTCTCTGTACCTTTTCCCCCTCTCCTCCTCCCACTCCCCTGTTGCTAACCCTCCATGTGATCTCCATTTCTGTGGTTCTGTTCCTGTTCTAGTTGTTTGCTTAGTTTACTTTTGTTTTAGGTGTGGTTGTTAATGATTGTGAGTTTGCTGTCATTTTACTATACATGTTTTTTTATCTTCTTTTTCCTAGATAAGTCCCTTTAACATTTCATATAACAAGGGCTTGGTGATGATGAACTCCTTTAACTTGACCTTATCTGAGAAAGCACTTTATCTGCCCTTCCATGCTAAATGAAAGCTTTGCTGGGTAGAGCAATCTTGGATGTAGGTCCTTGCCTTTCATGACTTGGAATACTTCTTTCCAGTCCCTTCTTGCCTGTAAGATCTCTTTTGAGAAATCAGCTGACAGTCTGATGGGAACTCCTTTGTAGGTAACTGTCTCCTTTTCTCTTGCTGCTTTTATGACTCTCTCCTTACCTTTCATCTTGGGTAATGTAATTATGATGTGCCTTGGTGTGTTCCTCCTTGGGTCCAACTTCTTTGGGACTCTCTCAGGTTCCTGGACTTCCTGGAATTCTATTTCCTTTGCCAGAATGGGGAAGTTCTCCTTTATTATTTTGTCAAGTAACTTTTCCACTTGTTGCTCTTCCTCTTCTCCTTCTGGTACCCTTATAGTTCGGATGTTAGAATGTTTCAAGATGTCCTGGAGGTTCCTAAGCCTCTCTTCATTTTTTTGAATTCTTATTCTCCATTCTTTTCTGATTGGATGTTTTTTTCTTCCTTCTGGTCCACTCCATTGATGTGAGACCCAGCTTTCATTCCATCACTATTGGTTCTCTGTGCACTTTTCTTCACTTCCCTTAGCATAGCCTTTATTTTTTTCATCTAATTTGTGACCAAAATCAACCAATTCTGTGAGCATCCTGATCACCAGTGCTTTGAACTGTGCATCTGATAGGTTGGCTATCTCTTGGTCACTTAAAAGTACTAATTGTGGGGCCTGATCAATTCTGTTTGAGCCATCTTCCCCTCTCCCACTTTGGTCTGGTTGGGCCAGTTACATTGACGGGCGGAGCCTTAGGTGTTCACCAGGGCGGGGCACCCCAGTCGCTGGGTTGAGACATTGTATGTGGGGGTGGGGTCCGAAATGGAACAATGGCGGTTGCTCTGCTTTCCATCGGACCTTAGTCCTTTCCGCTGCTTCCCCCAAGCAAACTGCCCCTCTGGTGCCAATTTCCATGTGTGTGGGCTTGTGCACCCCATGGGACTTTCCAAGGACCTGTCCTGTAAGGCTGGGAGTCTCTCTCTGCACCTCAACCTCCACAGGTGTTTTCAATCAGTGACCCAAGGCTCTATTTCCCAGCGCTGTGATCCTGGGTTGCGCGCAGTGCCTCACTTCACAATCACCACCTGCTGGGTCTGCTGATTGCCACCCTTCAGCTGGGGTGTGCCAGCTGCTGCTTGCACGCTCAGGGTCCACCCACTGTAGTCTAGAGTGCCCCGGATGCCTTACGTGCCCAGTCCCAACGCTCTCTGCTCTCCACACCTCAACCCTCGCCCAGCTGCCCAACTCCGCCCCTCCTACTGGTCTGGATGAACGTGTCTATTTTAACTTCTTGGTTGTCTGGCTTCCATACAGTTCAATTTTCTATCAGTTCTGGTTGTTATTCTATTTCTAAATTATTGTTGTCCCTATCTCGGTTGTGTGAGGAGGCACAGCGTGTCTACCTATGCCTCCATCTTGGCTGGAAGTTCGGTATAACCATTTTAAAGGACATTTTTCACACATGGTCTCTCAGACTGTATAAATTTTTAATTTAAATAATCATAATTTTGTTGGATAACCTCTTTCCTATTCAAAAACCTACAAGGATGGGTTAATGCTTCCTATGAACTTCTGCCTAATTTACAGTGGCTGGATCCTGGTTCATCTACCCAGCCTTGCTTCCTAGTACTGCACAGTATACAACTTCAGATCCTGACAGCTCTCATTCCAGCTGTTCACATCTGTCATGCTCACTCCTTGCACTTATCTTTATTTCTACTACATTCACTATCTGAAACCACACTCTGTCCATCCACACTTCCTTGGGCCCCGTTCCATGAAGCTTTCTCTGTCTAGTTCAGCTCATCTTGAATTCTGTCTCTTAGAATCTTTATTGTGCCTATAGCTAGTACTATGGGTTTTAAGAGATGTAACTGTTCTGTAATTCATGTTTGTTAATTCTGCCTCCATAGTCTCACTGCAAACTCATGTTTTACTCCCCTTTATTATTTCCAGTGGCCAGGACAACATGTGTGCTCAGTCAGTACATGCTGTCCGGAGAAAGTGCCCATGACCCACAGTCACTCAAGATCTCATGCATGGATCCGGGGGCTCTGGCTGCACTGACTGCTGGGGTTTTGTCCCATGGAGACTCGTACCCCTCTTGGGTATTGGCTCCAAAGAGTGCCAATTCCTGGTTAGAAATTTCATGTAAACAGAATCATACAGTATGCAACCTTTTGAATTACATACTAGGGTTGGTTGCTAAGCCTCATCCCAAATTATTGTGTGGGTCAACAGTTTGTTTCTTTTTTATTGTTCTCTATCTTAACTGCAAAACTGGGATTTTCCTGTAGATAGTTCTATATTCTGGATTTTGTAGATTGCTTCCCCGAGGTATCATTTAACTTAATGTTATGTCCACTGTATCTCCTGTAAACTGGTAGGATCTAGGCTCTAGAGTGTTCATTAGATTTAGGTTTGATATCATTAGCAAGAAAAATTAAAGGTGATGGTGTAGTTAAAAATTAATTAACCAAGTAAATGGCATTTATTATTTTTCATAGAAATCACCTACATATAGGAAAAGTCCAATTAGAGCTTCTAATTTTTGAGATAAATAGGATTATTATA